TTTATAAAAATTGATCTTGCCTCAACTCTAACCTGTCACTCCTAATCTATTTTAATCTTTGTTATAAAATAATGAATTTTTATTAAAGGAAACCTTAAACTTACAAAAATTTTAGGAAATTAAAACCATTCTTAGAGCCACTATCTTAAATAGATTAAGAATAATGTAAGTCTACTATTAAATTTTGGTCTATCTTATTCTCATTTTTTTCTCCATGAATATTTCCTTTTATTTTTTCTAAATATAAAGTAATCATGTTTAAAAATACAGACATGCAGAAAAGTATAATAAGAAAATACAAACCATCAGAAATCCCACCTTCAAAATAACCCCTAGACCTCTGTTAAATTAAGGTGGCCACGCTTTCTGTGGTCTCTCTAAGCATAACACATACATAGCTAGATACATTTTAAACACATTCGGGTATGTGATGTACAAATTATTTAATATCCAGCATTTTAACTTAAAGATCTATCATCACTGGCTGGGCATGATGGCTCAGGCCTATAATCCCAGCAGTTAGGGAGACCAAGGCAGGAGGATTGATTGCTTGAGGCCAGGAGTTCAAGACCAGCCTAGACAACATAGTGAGACCCTGTCTCCACAAAAAGAAAAAAAAAAAAAAAAAATTAGCGGGGTGTGGTGGCGCATGCCTGGAGTCCCAGCTACTTGGAAGGCTGAGATGGGAGGGTTGCTGGAGCCCAGGAGTTCAAAGCTGTAGTGAGCTATGATTTCAGCACTGCACTCCAGCCTAGGCAACAGAGTGAGACTCAGTCTCTGGGAAAAAACAAGGATCCCTCATCACCATTTCCTCCTATTATAATTTATTCATAAATAAAATTATAATGGCCCATCATGCAATTTTCTTCTTCTACTGTATGTTTTCATTATTTCCAGCTTTTCATGGTAATAAATAATGCTTCAATGAGCATTTTTGTATTTAAAGTTTTTACACCTCTACCTAGAAAATTAAAATCTATTGACCTTTTCCTTTTGTGATTTTCTGTATTGATTTTGGGAAGAGAAAGTTCTTCCCCATCCAAAGATCAGAATTTTTATTGTTTGGTTTCTTTTCTTTCCTCTTTTTTTTTTTCATGTCTTAGTTCCTTAATCTATCTGGGCTACATTGTTATATATTTTTAAAGATTCCAAGCTTATTTGTCACATGTTTAAATTTTAGCCAAATCTAGTAGTGTAAGTTATTGGCCCAACATTTTGGAAATGCACATTTATGTTTTTAAAGGAAATACATGTCTCATAATGTTGGCTTTCCACTAAACTTCAGAGAGCCTACAAGACTGACAAAATAACCAGAGCTTTGATTATCAGCAGGAAGTCATACTGAACAGGAATAAAGAGGCCACTCATACAGGCCACATTAAAACTAAACAATCAGAAGGTACAAATTCTTAGCTTTAGTGGCTTTATTATTTTAGATTTAAAAAGTCTAAAAGGTTCCAAGATGAGTTTAAGCAGTGGGCTTATTCTCCACGTGGACTGATCACCACTGGTCTCATTTACTGACCAGGAGCAACCTCTGTTACCACTAGTCACCATGTTCTTGCTATCGGTCACCGGTAGAACAGGTAAGAAAGCAGAGAACAAGCTCTCCCACCCCCTCCCAACAGAAAAAGGACACAAATGGCTTGCCTTGCTGGTTGGCAATAGATTAACAGAGCATCTTCGATATGAAGAGCAGCATGAATGTCAGTATTTATATGGTAGCTTCTTGATCATAAATATTGCATTATATTATCTGAAAATATTAATTTACCAGTTTTTCCCCACCACAGCCCCTGAGGCACAATACTCTCACTGCTACTTACTAGCTTCTCTGACTTGGGGCAACTTACTTAACCTTTCTGGGATGGTTTCCTCAACCGTAAAATGAGGACATAAAGACAATCGACTTCTCAGGGTTGTTTCGAGGAGTTAACAGGAGACATAGAACAGCAGTTGCACTTCAGAAATGCCTTTTGAGTATTCGTTATTATTACTTTTACCACTACTCTGCTACTCCTGCTATGACTCCTACTACCGCGCCACCCTCCAGAAATTCCAGGTCAAACTTAAATTGGGTTCTTCAGAATGAAACAGAGAACTGGGGAGGTCTGTGGTCAAATAAACTCCAGGAGTATAACCTGTCCTCAGCTTCTGCAATCCCTCTGGGAAGTTAGTATTTACTGTCATTACTAAAATAGTGAATTTCTAAGGTGGGCAGCATCAGAATCTCCTGCACTTTCTCATACAGAAGCACAAGACTCATGCACACCAGCACCAGGGGGCGGCAGGGGTCAGGGGGTGAAGGGCAAGAACCAGGAGGTTTGGCATGGAACAGGCAGGGTGGCACTGTTCATTGTAGTCACTGCATGAATCTGAGCAGGCCATAAACTGCAGAGCAAGAGCCTACACCTCCCAAACCAGGTGCTGCAAAGATCAAGACCATGAGTGGGAATAGGGAGTGATCTGGGGTGTGAATGGAACTGGAGGATCAGGTGAAAAATCTATCCAGGCTCAGCAGTCAGAAAATCCATCTCTAATATCACAACTATTAATACTTTCAGTTATTCATTTCGTTCCTCAGAGTTTTGATCTTCTAATGCCATTCAATTTTTCCAATGTTTTTGATGTGAGCCAATTCAAGTTGAAAAGTTTACCTAAGGATTTGTCTCCAACTTTGAAACTCGGATTCATTTTAACAACTAAAGCATACTTAAAATAACAAGAGCAAAAGAAGCTACCACTCATAAAGGGTTGCAAACTTTAAGACATCATTAAATTGAACTACTCTTATGGAATACTTTCATGCCAGACTGCTTCGGTGGCAGATTAACAAAGGTAAAATTGCTCTCTAGATCTTTAAATTAGTGAAATTAATTGGTATCACATACTACTGGGTCATGGGCTAGGTTCATAAACCGTCTGAGATGCATAAGACATCTAGAGCACTTTGGATATCAACAAGAAAGCATATTGGATAAAAATTAATCAGCACAAAGATAAACTTAGATGGCAAGGAATAGGAAATATGCCTGTCTCTACTTGATTTTAGCCAAAAGGCAGAGAAGTAACAAAACCAAACCAGTCCAGCAAGATGAGAACAAGAATTGCAATGTGTGTTCCATATCTGAAATCACGAATAACCTAAGATTTGCTTAGAGACTTTATCCCAAGTTTACAGATTTTGAACACCCTACAATCCTTGATTTTTTTCTCCTCACTTTTGGAGAAAACTTATTTTAATGCGTATATGCTCTGGGAAAACCCCAAAATTTGGATTTTAGGGAGTTTCCCTCTTATCCTATCCTTTGCCACATTGTTTATCTCTGTTTCTAATCGGTAGTATTCTGCTTTGTTATCATCTCTAGATGAAAAGGCTATGAAGCACTTGGGAACACAGAAACTGAGATCTACAAGATACAAATGAGTTTTGTATAAGCTTTTTAAAGACTTTTACCCATACCCATTAAGCACAAACAAGTAATCGATGAGTAAAATGTCTTAACACTTCTCTTTAAAATCATCAGGCAGCTTCAAACAGGTTGACAAAAGTTTCCCCTTAAAACTTAAATTAACAGCATTTAATAATTAATAATTGCATAATAGCATGTATATGCAATTGTGTGTGTGTATATACATATAGCACATATATAAAGCATGATGAAGTCATAGCAATCTTTGTACTTTTTGGAAAGCTAAAATGACCTAATGGATTTGTTGTTAAAGAAAATATCTGCAGAGGCGGGGGCAATAATATAGCTGTATAATTGTGTCATAGGGATATAAAAGACAGTTGATTCTGTAACCCTGAAATGGCATGCAGATATAACTTTACAACTTCAGTCTCAGCATACATGGGAAACAGGATCCTTAAACTTTAGCATATCACCTCAAAGATTTTTTTAAATACCTATTTCTATCTCCCTTTTCCCTTAATTTTTTTTAAACAGAGAATATGAAAGAACAGACCCTTTCTGATACATTAAACTTTTCAGGGGGAGAATAAAAGAGGAGAATAAAATGGCAATCAGAGAAGCATATTAGCATATTTTAAAACATTAGTACATTACCCTGAACCAAAGCATACTTAAAATAACATAAAAGCAAAAGAAGATACCATTCATAAAGTGTTGCAAACTTTAAGACATCATGAAATTGAACTACTCTTATGGAACAATTTCACGTCAGACTGCTTCGGTGCAGATTAACAAAGGTAGAATTGCTTTCTAGATCTTTAAATTAATCAGATTAAGGAAGATATTTTCCTGGTACTTAATTTTATTGACTTAATTTCTTAATTACTATTAACAATACTTTTGTGTTTTACAAGTCACACCCCATTTTTACAGTTATTTACTCCTAGGATAATCTCACATTCTGAAGAGTCCTTTAAGAATAAAAACAGTGACAACTAACAAAGGGTTTCAATTGGGCTTAATCTACCTGCACACTCTGCCCAAATCAATTGAGGCATTCTAGAAAAGTGCCAGACTTTTCAAAGAGAAAATTAAAATGATATTCTGGTTCATTGTAACTCCACGGAGTAGGCCCAAGGGACAACCGTGCACCAGACAAGTGTGGTGAGGAATGGCATCGCTAGCTGGGGCGTGACACACTGCTGCTTAATGTTCAAAAAAATAAAAACAACTGAGTATAGAATCATAGTTACACCTAGAAGATTTAATGGGAGGACACAAAATAATTACAAAAAAAGGGAACTGAAATGCTTACAAACAAGTACAAACTTCTAGACTGCAAATCCAACACATATATGTCATTTCTTCTTGGCTTCTATTTGCACCTAATACTATCAAACTATGCATACAGTATAAGGAGAAACATAAAGCCCCAAACCTTCGTGGGATCAACAAACTCACATTATTTTCTAAAAGAATGCAGCAGCAGCAAAACTGCTATCCTGCCTGTCAAATCATCTCCCCATGAGCACAGAAAGAAAATCTGACACATGCAGCAGAAAGTTCAAAACGTTATTTACTAACCTGGTGTCCCCGTGAAAGTAGTTGCTCCATGTTACCTTAAAGAAGGAATCCTTACTACGAACTAACCTCCAAAGCAACTGATAGCTGAGAGGGGAAAAAACTGACTACCCTAAGAACCTACATGAACAGGGAAAGCTGTCCTGTTCCCAAGCCCAGTTTTGGCGACTCCCTAAAGGCAACTTAAGTTGTAGCCGAGCCCACAAAGCACTTTAGCCTATAAGCTTCAGTAATGAACTTGAAACCACTCCCCATATGTTAAATAGACACTAGGCTGCTAGAAATAAAACCCACGTACAGAATGAGCTAAGGCTTCAGGCTTCATTTTTGCTGCCCAAGAAAACCGAAGCACAAACTCAAACAAAGAGAACTCTCACTACCTTCTTTTTCCTCAGATGCTGTATTAAAGAGACTGATTTATTTTTAAACAAGGGGAACATAGTCTGCTGTCCATTAGGGCCATGAAATGACTTTTATATTGTCCAAGCTGGGTGGTAGTTATGGAACATATAGCACTGTAATTTCACATTGCATAAGAGGGACACATAAAGTTGTTGTTTCTGAGAATCAAACTTGCATACTATCACTATTTTCAGATTTTTATAGCATTAAATAAGCCTAAAACCTCAACAATCACTGAAGTCCAAAAACTGATACACGTTCAAGAGGAAACTTTGTCAAAGAATTTTCTAACTTCTGATTCTGACTTGGTGTCCGTAAATTTTAAAAGCATTCTTATAATTCAGTTTCACCACCCACATTTAGGATACATTATAACCTAAGACATATCTTTGAAAAATGGATCTTTTGTTGCCTTTTAAAATGGAACTTAAATAATTAGACTCCTCTGAATATCTTAATGTTTATACGTTTGAAGGCCATAATATACATGTGCATTGTGTAGCATGACATACCAAAAATTGTTGTTTTAAATGTCATTACTGCCAGCCTAGAAGATAAAAAGCTGCAAAGCATAGCTAAATGTATGTTCTTGCCATGTAGCAGGCATTGGCTCCTATTCCTTTTTCTCAATACACAATAAAATAAATGTCTAAAAGCAAAATAAATAAACAAATAAAATGGAACTTAGTATCACTCACTATGGTTTTTAAAGTAAGCAATTTGAATTTACTTTTCATTCTAGAAAAATGTAACTGAAAATTTCCTTAAGGCGGTTAAATCTTAAAAACACAGTCAATAATGTTCCAGTTTAAGAAATAATAAGAATCTATGTTCAGCTTTTTAACACAATGTGTTTACAGTATACATAATTTTCCCCTAGTTTGCAACTCCAACAACAGTTTCAACTGTAATGACTTGATTCCATGATTTCTACTATAAATAAGACCTGTTTTAACATAATGGTCAAGGTTTCCTAACTTCAATTATTGTTTTTTCTAAACCATAAGACTAGACCAAATATGGCAAGAAAAACTTGATTCACTTGTTACCAAATAGATTTACGTGTATTTCTGGTAAAATTCAAGTTGCTCAAAACCTATGAAACATAAGCCATTGTTTCAAGAAGGTCAGTCACGTACATCCTAGAGACTATTTCAGACTTGACACTCACTCACCTTACACCTCCCCTTCCCACTCTCAGGTCAGGGCTCAACAGCATCTCCGGGGGGCCCTTTAGAACAAGGTTGCGGGGCGGGGTAAGACAATCCCCTTTGTGGGAAAGTTGGCCCTGAGGCGCAGGGATGATGACTTAAAAAGGAGCTAGTACCCCACCTGCTGGCGAAACCAAGAGAAGGCCGGGAGAGTTGAACAAGCCTCAGGTGGAAATATAATTACTTTGGTGTTGGAAGAAAAAAAAGAGAGAGAGAGAGAGAGAGAAAGAGAGAGAGAGAGTGGAGAGCAGAAGTCACATACAATGTGTGATTAAATTTTTTTCCCCTACAGAGTGTAATATTTTTAGAAGATATGAAAATGCTCATGCAAAAAATGTAATTATATTCAAAACCATCTCTTTTATGTGGATCTGGTTTACAAACATATATGCCCAGGGAAATCCTCTGATAAATAATACTGATCTCTCCTCTGCTCAAAGAGCTGCAAGAAATAGTCCTGTGAAATCAACACAATGTTTGAAATGGAAGAAATATAGATAAATCCCTAACTCAGCTAGATAAACTGCTATGGGACTATGTCTCCAACAGTCTGTTAAAAATCTATACCCCCAGGATTGATCTTCTCTTTCTGCCAAAAATTATTTCCTTTAGTCTCATATAAATCAATTCTGCTAATATCAGTATCTGATACTAACCTCAATGAAGATGAAAAACAGTTAAATAGTGGGCCCCAAATTACACTACAGTCTTTAATAAAGTGACTATGCTCTTTAACAAAATCCCAGCAAAAATAAAAGTATACTAGGATTCGGTTTTGAATGAGCCCAAGCCACATTACTAAAACTAAAACAAATAAGGATAGGTATTATTTAAGCTTGCTCTTTGTGCCAAGCTTGGTTCTTAAGTGCTTTATAAGCATCACCTCACTTAAACCTCACCATCCTATTATTATACCAGTTTTACAGAGGAGAAAACTGAGGCATCCAAAGGGTAAGTACCTTGCCCAGATCTCACAGTTAGTGGCGGAGCTGGTATTAGAAGCCAAGTCAGTGCTCCTAACTGTACACTTTAATAACTGTCTTCCTGAGTGCGTACCACTCGCGAAACCCTGCCAGCCCCGGACAAATGCAAGGCAGGGGGCAAACGGACGAGGACTGCATGTGCACAGTCCTCAGGGAGGCTTTCCAGAGAAGCCGCCGCGAACTGAGACCTGAGGGCGATATGGAAGGGCCCCAGGCACTTGCTCAGCCCCCAAGGGGGAATCGAGGAGGGGGCTGGAAGGGACTGCTTCTAGGGAGCTTGGTGAGGCTGAAGGCCTGGCAGGGAAAAAATGCTGTGAAGAAGGAAGGAGTCCTCTGGTGTCACATCATGGAGACAAAGAATCGCCATTGAGGGACTTTAAACCAGAAAATTACCAGATGTGTAGGTTGAAAAGGTAAGTGGGAGGAACTAGGCCTTGTTGGGCAAGAAAAAAATTAGAAGACATTCCAGGTGAAGGGAAGGACAGACCAGTGCTTTAAAATGTATAGGTTCACACTTTCACAAGCTTTAACAAGGAGACTGGTACAGTAGCCCGGACAGCAGCGTGCCCACTCGCTCCCCTGGGGCTGAGCCGTGTGGTGGTTGTTAATGCTGTTCACAGAGCTGGAGAAGGTGGGGTGGGATGGCCAAGCCAAAGAGTTTGCTTCAGGAGGCTGGGCTGGAGGTCCTGTGGGCCATCCAGGGTGCATGTCCAGAAGCCCCAGGAGATGCAGGCCTGTGCTCCCGTCCTCTAACAGGGGAGGCGCACGTGTAGGAGTCACGGGCACAGAAAGGGCAGGTGCAGCTGGGGGCCAGTGGGGTGCAGAGCTTGCCCCTGGGGAAAGCAGGGCATATGAGGAAAGGGTGAAGTTTTAAGGCAAGAGGTTCTGATAATATCAGACAGAATTCAGGGTGTGGGTAGAAAAAAATTTGATTTTCATTTCTACTAACCTACCACTGAAATTTAGCATATCCTTCTATTAGAAATGTAGGCCAAAAATCCACAGTAAAATTAGCCATTCCTGTGACTCCTCATTAATAGAAGTAAAATATATTTTCATATCACATCGTGGTTATTGCAAATATCTCAAAGTATCAATTTACTCATCACTACTTTGAAATTACAGTAGTTATTAGACCTACCATTAGATATAGGTAAGTAATGCATTTTAATAAAGGGCATGTATTGCACTATTACATATTAGTATGTTGACAACTTTGTCGGCATAATTGGTTTCTTTTATAATTCTATGCATTCTAATTTTATGCATTTAATTTTATGTGGTAAACATTATTCTGTAGAGTGATTCACTAGCTTCATTAGAATGTCAAAGAGGTCCCCATGGCATACACACAAGAAAAGTAAGGAACATCTGATTTAAAAGGGAGAAGAAAAAGCCACACTTAAAAATGGCATTTCAAAAAGTGGACCCTAGTATGAGATGAAGCCAGCATTCAAATCCAGGATGTAAACCCAGGACTTCTGATTTTGTGTTTTTTCCACCACCTGATCCACACCCTAAAATAATAAAAGCAGAATCCTTCATTTGTGTAAGTAAAGTGCTTTCCCGCTCATTAGCTAATTAGCTCATCACAGTAACCCCGAGTAGGAAAACGCAGGCAAACCAAACCCGCCTTGAACTCTGCAGAAGTTACCATCTAAGAAGACACCACTTCCTGGGCCCCAGCACTGTGCCAGCCCGGGGTAGATGGTGGCATCTGTCACCCCACTCTATGGAGCTGTGGTCCTGGGCACAGAAGAGTGCGATGAAGAGCCTCTCCCTCATACCACACCAGCTAGAACCCGACCGGGAGTGGAAGGCACAGTGGGCGCAGAAGCAAATGACTGAGTCGTGCTTCTCTTGAGGCTTCCATTTCCAGGCAAGGCTAACAATTTAATTCGTTTCTTTGCTCAAAGCTCTTTTATTTAGTTCTGATTGGTGATCCAGGGTGAATGACAAGATTTACAGCATTTCAGCTGTTTAATTTTCCATTGGCTATAACCAAAACAGAAGCCTTTACTTAAACAATTAGTTCGAAATTAGACGGATGAGCTGAAACAATGGGCTCTCTGTCCTCTCCTCTCTGTGCCCACCAACTGGCATTCATTATTTAATCTGTGACGCGTGTTGCCAGGGCTGCAGTAATGACAACGCGTTCATTGTCTTCACATCTATTCCCTATTCTGGGACATCTGTCATGGCTCCTGTCTATATTTCGTTTTATTTTGTTTTATTTTGCTTCTCTTACTTTCACAGGGTCATTTTCTTAATTACTACAAATTGCTTTGAAATCTATTCTAATCTTCTAAAATGTCACAACATTTTGTAACTTAATAATAAAAAAACCTAAGGTACATGCACTGGCACCCTTTTAGGTTACTTTAATTTTACACAAAACTGTATAATTTCAAATAAATTTTATCTCAAAGTTGACTAGGCAACCAATCTTTTTTA